CCTCTGAACTCAACTTAGCAGATTGTTTTCCATAATAGCATTGGTGTAGTGATTTGGAAACTGCTTTGTATGCATCACAGGATTGAGCAAATGAATAAATATATTGATATATTGGCAGCCAGTGTTTTACTGTGGGAAAAGAGAGATATAAATGAAGGCTGATGGAAGTAACAAAGAACCCTGTGGTGTTGGGTTGGTGTGAACTCATAGTTAAAAACGTTTTTGTGTACCTCATCCAGGTGATCACTGTTAACATCCATAGTGACGGCGTGCTGATATCATGGCCTCTTGATGTGATGAAAATAGCACTTTACCTCTATGCTCTTCCTCCCCCAAACACATAACTCCAGCCTAATGACAGAACGTCAGATAAATACCAGTTCAGAGACATTCGGCAAAATATCTGACCCAGACGCCTCGAAACCGTGAAGGTCATTGAAGACAAGGAAAGTCTGAGTAACCATCACAAGAGAAAGGAACCTAAGAGGGCACAACTACTAAAAATAATGTAGTATCCTGGATGAGATCCTGGAACAGAAAAAGGACATTAGACAAAAACTAAGAAAAACTGAAGTGTGGACTTTAGTTAATAATAATGTGTCAGTGTTGGTTTATTAATTGTAAACAAAAAACAAAACCTATAGTAGTAATAGGGGAAACTGGGTACAGGGTATATGGGAACCCTCTGTATTATCTTTGTAATTTTCTGTAAATCAGAAACTTCTAAAATAAAAAATTTAAATTAATTAGTCTTATTATTTTTTACAAAGTATTTGTGTCTGTGTTTATTTTTTATTTCTCTGTTTGGTGAGTGGGCCTGGAAGCAGTAATGCCCCTGTAGCACATACCTAGTGCCTGGACCTTGGTTTCTACATAGCGTTTTCTAATAAAAGGAACCAAAGCTTCTTGGAGAAATGTCTGATTCCTGGACAATGGCAGGGAATCTACAAAATGAGTATGGAATATCTTCTTGTGCCAAAAAGTAGGGAAATGCTCAAAAGATTTCACAGAGGAGTCCCTGCTTGCAACTATGATAGTAGAATAGTACTTAGCTTGCCATCCCACTCTATAAACAAATAGAAAACTAGATAAATAATGTGTGGGAAACAAATCGTTTCAGATATGGGACAACTGTTAGTGTGAGGCTTTGGTCCCTGGGAGAGGGGAGAGTAAATGAGATCCTACAGTTGCAATGGCCTTCTCCCTGAAGGTGTATTCCATACAGCACAGGAAGGAGGAACCCAAGCAGAGCACAACAGATTTGCTATAGTGAGACAAACAATGGAGCTTGGGGAAACTGAAGTAACTGGAATTTGCTGAGCATAGTGTGGAAGAGGAAGGAAGAAGGAGGAGGGAGCTACTCAGAGAAAGCTCCAGAAACATGCATAGGAGTCTCCTTAAATTTTTGACTGAAGGCTAAGCTGTATATACATCTATCTAAAGTGAAATTCTGGAACCGACAAAAATACATTGACCGAAAGTAGACCAGTGGTTGCTTTGGTCCAGGGAAGGTCCACAAAGGAACAGAAGGGGATTTACTGGGATGATGAAAACCTTGCATATCTTGGTTGAGGTGGTGATTACATGGATGTATATGTTTTTCAAAGCTCTTTGAGGTGTATCTTTGGGATTCAGCTTGAAGGAGGCGTCTGTGGGCAAAATTGGGACAATTTGGGTATCAGCATAATTATAGGGATAGAATATAACTCAATAAAATATTTCATGTGTCCATACTAAAATAGATGATGAATGAGAAGAAAATACTTACAGTAGAATTCCAACTGGTAAATGTAGAAGGAATGATAGAGTTAGAAAATATCGTCCAACCATCACAGCAGCAATTGACTCAGACAGAAATCTCATTGATTCTACCTCTGTTGGTGAAGATTGGTGATGAACAGGAATCTTTGTAGTCTCAAATGATCTCCCTACAGATAACTTGTTACAAAAACAAAAATAGTCACTTTAGAGTGACCACAGTTGATCAAATGATTTGGATTTGCTACTGTCTTCTGGACTGAAGGTTCTCAGGGTGTGAAATTCAATCTTGCTGTGCTCAATCATTTCTTGGTTTAATATGGTAACCAGATCTTGTCTTTATTTGAGATTTTGGTGTTTTGTTCATCATGAATTTTTGACATTAACCTTTATTTTAAAAAGTATTTCATTGAACCATCACTTTTTTTAAAATTTCTGGGTTTGTTTTGTTTTGTTGCCTCCTTAAATGTCGTGCCTGAAGGAGTGCTTCACTCACCTCTAGTTCTGGCCTTGGCTGCAGCAGGTTTGAATGAAGGGGGAAGAAGGGAAGGAGAGGAGGAATAAGAAAATAAGTGTGCTGCGGTATCTAAATAAACTCTGTTCTTAGGATCCTGTCCCTTTTGTTCTTCAAGAAAAATTGTTTCCTTCTCACCTCTTTGAAAGACTCCTTAGTCTTTGAAAAGCTGTCTCATTCCAGCAGTCCCAAGCTAATCATGTTGAAAGCTGTGACTTGTGCGTCACACGTACTAATAGTAGAAGATAGGTATTACTTTCCTTGTTTTGACTATGAAGTGAATGGAGATGGAGAGAGGCTAGATGACTTGCTAGAGGACATAGAACTGGTGGAGTGGATGAGTTAGTATCTTACCAAACCACACCTTAGTACCTGTGGGTAGAGGAAATACTACCTCTGCCTCCTGAGTGATGGGTGAGCCAGTGTGGTGGAACCTTGGAGAAAACGTCTTAAAGAGACAGAAGACATTTGCTTCGTGATGTCACAGAAGCTATGAAGCCTCATGGAAACAGAACCAAACAAAGAAACTGGATCCCTGGCCTCCTGTCTGGGACCTGGAGGAGACAAGAGTGTGCGGGTGTCTGAAGGAGAAGGTCACTGAGCCATTCTGGGCGTGTGCTGGGTATTCCAAGAAGTAGCCACAAAGGACAGATTAAATATCAGGGCTTCTGGTCAGTCCTAGGTCAGCTGGAATTCCTCGGGCTGTGTGTGTCAGGCAGCTGGATGACCTAACTGGGAACAGACTTGAATGGGACCACAAAGCCATAGCAAGGCTGAAGGCGAGGAACCCCGCGTCCCCAAGTGGAGACAGGTTGTGGCCCACCCGTGTGAGGAACCAGGATCAGTCTTACCTCTGTGGCGGTGAGTTTGAGTGTTTGATTTTGAATGTGGTAGTTTGAAGTGTGCGTTAGGCATGCAAGTGGAAGCTCTGAGTGTGGCTTCAGGGGAGAGGTCTGGACTGAAATCTTGAACTGGGAAGTGATTTGATGAGGTAGCTATTGTGTATTATTCTTTCATATACTGGGGCATATCAAACTTTCCTTTCTACCTTTTATTTTGCTCAGAAGTTGTTTTCCTAACTATCCATAAATTATAAATGTTCATCTTTCTTTTTTGGTAGACTTTTATGGGGATGATTAAAATGGATTTATTTCCACCTGTTGCAAAGTGTGATGAATCAAACACTATCTGTAAAATTTCTACCTTGAAGATTTATTAAAGTTTTCTTCATGACTTATCAGTGACTAGTTGTAAATATTTCATGGTCATTTTAAAAGAATGACTAAAGATTGTCTTCCATAGAGTAGTCTGTCATCTCTCTCTTTTTAAAATTGAAGTATAGTTGATTTACAATGTTGTGTCATCTCTTTCTTAATTTTAATACTCCTGTTATATTTTGGGTCAGTTGGATTTGTTTTTAGTTCTCTGATGTGGTCTCTCACAGTTTTAATTTATTTTATTTCTTGTATTAGTTACCTACTGTTGTATAACAAGGTATCCCAAAACTTAATGATTTAAACAACAGTCAACATTTATCATCACTCACAGTGTCTGTGAGTCAAGAATTTGGGAGCAGCTTAGCTGGATGTAGTCAAGATGTCGTTTAGAGCTTCCGTCAACTAAAGGCTGAACTGGAACCAAGATTTCTGCTTCCAGGTGTCCCACTGCACATGGGCCTCTCCATAGGGCTGATTGTCTTTGTGACATGGTGGCTGGCTTCCCCTAGAATGAGTGATCCAGAAGCTGCAGTGTCTTCTATGACCAAAGCCTCTGAAGTGTCAACAAAAAAATTAACCAACAGTTGATCTAAGAAAGAATTGGACAATTTTATTTGAGCCAACCAAGGGGTTATAACCCAGGAGGCAGTCTTTCAGAAAGCTCTGAGGACTGTTCCATCCATCAGAGGTCAAAGCAGTTATGTAAGTTTTTAAGACAAAAGATTATCCATGAAAGGACATTTTGACGGTTCACACAATCAGATCTACATGTGCAAAGCGAGTCATCATGGTGATGGGTCATTGTGGCCCCTCAGGAGATTAAGAAGGAATGTAATCTAGAGGTCTGGTTAATGCAGATGCACAGTACACGCCAAAGGGGAGGAAGGAGGCCCAAATGGGCAAAGAAAACATCTTATGTTTGAAATGTTCTCGTCTTGCCATAAGATGTGACTTTTGTTTCATTGGAAGCCACATACCACCATACTCCATTGGGCACATAGACCAGTTCTGACTGAGTCAGTGTGGGCAGAGACTACCCAAGGGTGTGAATCCTGGGAGGCAAGGGCCACCTGGGAGGCTGACGACTACCGTTCCTTTCAAATGTTGACTTTAAAACGTACAACACGAGAGTTGTGAGTTTTAAGTTTTATTCAAGGTCTTACTGAGGTTGATACCTTGGGAGATACTGAGTAACACGGGGTAGCTCTGAGTAAACTCCCACGAGGTAGGGGAGGAGACAGTATATATATGATTTTGGCGGGGGCGGGGGTGCTAGGAAATACACGTAGTCAAGCATACATCTTGGTAAAAGATTATTGCTCATCACAAAGAACAGATGTCTCAAGTTAATGGTTTTAGTGCTTTTCTATGTATGGGACGATGCAAGAGTCTGGACTCATTGAAATTCTTCCTGAGATAATGCATCTTAACTACCTAAGGGCCTGTTTATCCAAAGCACAAAGGACCTTGTCCTGATTTTTCATCTTGAATTCTCCTCAGGGTGCGCTGTTGGTGGGTGACCACACTGGGTTGAGACTTAATCCTTGCATAGCTGGATGATAAGCGACACTCTGTTCTTTTTTTGGTCACACCAAGAGTACATGAATGTCCTGATGCACCCCCCACTCCCATTCTGTCAGATCCACTGCTGCCTTGTCAACCAGTTCCTGAGAGATCACTGTCATTCTCCCTTTACGCTCTCCTGTCCAGCTCCCCTCTTCTGTAAACCCCAGCGACATTCGGCTCTACACTCATGGTTCTGCCATATTCTCTCTCCTTAATGGGATCAGCCATTATCACATGAATGAGATCAGCCGTGGGGAGGCCCGTAGTGCATGGTTCTGGAACAAGGAATCGAAAAAGCAACTACAAAGTGGATTCTATCTAACCCCATCTTAGCTACTAACTCCCTATATGACCATGACCATGGGTACCTCCCATAACTTTTCTGTATAAAGAAGGGAACGAAACTGTGGGGGGGGGTTGTTTGTTTGTATTGCTTTGTTGTTTTTTGTTAATAGCAGTTACTCAGGATTAACCCTGTGTTTTGCTGTTACTACTAACAATACTATATACTGTTCTAAGATTGCATATCTAGGTTAACTAGAAGAAAATTCAAACGTTTTCAGTAAACATTTTAATATTTCAAATTTATATTTATTTTGTAAAGACAGTTTTATAGGTAATACATATTTGAGCCCTCTATTTGAGAAGGTTTTTAATTTCCCTCAAATTTTCAAGTATTTTACCTAGATCTCATTTCATCTTTGGCTATTGTCTTCATAGCTTCTGTCGTTATCTTAACGTATAAGTCTGTTTGCTCTATAATTGTATGACCTTATTTGAGAGAACTGTCTATGTATTTTAAACAGACTTAGGGAGTTGTGCAACTGAACCACCTGGCACCACTGTCCACTCATACTAGAAACCTAGGTGGTATCCTTGACTCCTCCCTCTCATTACCCTCCCCATTCAATCGATACCAAAATCTACTGAGTCTACTTTCTAGATACAGGTTTTTTCTCCCTAGTGAACAGAATTTATTTACTTAGTGCTGTAGATTGAATGTCTGTGTCCTATTCAAATTCGAAATTTGAAAGGCAACCCTCACGGTGATGGTATTTGGAGGTGGGGCCTTTGGGAGGGGGTGATTAGGTCATGAGGGTGGAGCCCTCATGAAGATTAGTGCCCTTAAGAAAGAGGTCATTAGAACTGCCTTGCCTGTTTCACCATGTGGAATGTATTGCATCTTTGTGACAATGAGGGCAAAATAAATGGGTCCTTGTGTCTTAGAGTCCATATTTTATCTCTAATACTCAAGATTATATACTTAGATTATGACATTAAATTTAGATACGCTATGCAGACATCTGTTTGCTGATTATGAATTTGTAAAAGATAAATGTGTTTTCTTATGCAAGTCACAGTAAATTTGTAAAACTAAATTTTGTAGAGGATTCTGCCAACAGAGGAACCTTAAAAGAATGGTTGAAAATGAAAAATGTTATCACCTATCCTCTTCAGGCTAAAGATGCCCAATTTCTTCAGACATTTGCGAAATGTGGAAAAGGCTGCAAAAACCTGGATGTTTACTGATATGTCTTAACTTACATAATGTTTGTGCTGTCTCAGAAAGCAAGGGGGAAGGTATCAGTCATACTTTGAACACTCAAACAGAAAACCAACTGGTTTTTGTGGATTGTGTTCTTTTTACTTTTTATATCCAGGAGCAGTTTTCCAATATTGCAAGCTTAGTGTAATTGTAACAGCTCTGCTCCTCCTTTGAAAACAAAACACACAACCCCTCCCCCCAAAAAACACTTAAGAAGTATTTCTACAGGTTGCTTCATCACCACACAGTTATTTTTATAAGTTGTATAGTTCCAAACAGATGTACTGTTATTTCTGTACTTTTAGGCATATTGTTCGTATTCAACATTTTATTACCATATGTTTCAATATCTTTGTGAATATATTTGCAGTTTTACATTTCCCCAATATAAAAATTCCCAGCTCATAATAATGCTTTTTGTCATTGGTTACTTAGGTGAGGCAAGTTACATTGAAGCACTGGATCCTATAACCCAATTTCAGACGAGTTAAGACATGGGAGAGTTAGGACTACAGATACGAGTTTATATTTTCAGACATAGGATGAATGGGAGCAAGAGGGTATAACAAAGAATGAAGAACGGGAAGAATGATCTTTATACTCTGCTTTGCTTTTCTTTCTAACGCGTATCAAATTCCCGGTATATGTCAGCGTCCTTTTCTTTTTCCTGTTAAATTTCTCCCGCAGTAATGTCAGCTCAATGGGTGGGGATTATTGCAAGTTCACAGGGGCGTCCCCAGCGCTTACAACAGTGCTTGAAGCACAGTAGGCACTCAATAAATGGCAAGTGAAAGGCAGGGTAGGGAGGACAGAGAAGAAACAGAAAAATAGACGGAAGAAACTGCGAGCAACCTGAGTTGCCCACATGCTCCCGGGATCCCCCTGCGGCAGGCCCTGGCCCGGACACCCAGCTGGGACACCCAGCTGCGACACCCAGCCCCGCCAGCTCGCTTTTCCAGCGTGGGCCTTGCAGCCCCACCTGCGACGCCCGAGCGCGGGCCCGGCCACTGCGCGTGCGCATCATCGCCCCGCTCGCCACGCGCGCCCGGCGCGTGCACCGAGCGGGACGCCTTCGCGACGCGATCAAGCTGCGCCTGCGCAGTCCGAGACGGCCGGTCCAGTTAGCGGCCGGACTCGGTGGGAGGACGTGAGTCGGACGGCCTGAGAGCGCTGTGTCGGCCCCGGTTCTGAGTCGGAGGGTCAGGGCGGTTGAGGGGGTTGGGGAGAGCGGCAGAGCCGACTCGAAAGAGACGAGGCCGGAGCCGGCTGCCGCCCGGCGCGCTTGGCGAACAGTCCCAGCATGCTCCGCGCCACAGCGCGCCCGACCCCGGACTGCATTTCCCAGCGGCCCCTGCGGCCGGCCCCGGCTGCCCGGCCGAGCGCCGCGGCGCCTTTGTGAGTCCGCCGTCGGCCCGAGATCGAGACCCCGCCCCGGCCGCGGGGCCGCTCGGCGCCGGCGTCCGCGAGCCGCGCGGGGCGAAGCGCAGACCCTCCGGGAGAAGGCGGTGAGAGCGCGGGAGGGCGCGCGCCGGGCAGGCCTGCCGGGCGGGCGGGAGCGGGCGTGTGAGGGGGCCTGTGCCGTGGGGGACTGTCACCGTGAGTGTGACCGGGTCGCCGTGTGTGAGGCTGTGTGAGCGAGCGTGTGGGGCCGTGTGACTGTGAGTGTGTGTGTGACTCTGGACGGAGTGAGACCGTGTGTGGGGCCGTGTGAGAAGGTGTGACAGTGAAGCCGTGTCACCCTGTGGTGCCCTGGTGTGAGCGTTGTGACTGTGACAGTGTGCGAGAATGTGACACAGTGTGTGCCCTTGTGTGTGGGACTGTGCCACGTGTGTGAACAGAGTTCGAGGAAGTGCGTGACAAAATCTGTGACAGCGAACGTGCACCTGTGTGTCTGTCTACGCGAGACCGCTTGAGACTGTGTGACCTCAGGCGGGTGTGACAGTGTGCGGCACCATGTGTCGTCGCGTCGCCGAGTGTGCCTGTGCCCCGGAGTGGCCTCTGTGAGCCCCGCCGCGAGGGGAGGGCGGGCACGTTCCCTGACGGCCTGTGCGGCTGGCGCGGGGGGTGGGGGCTGCGTGCTCCAGAAGTGGGGACACTTGTCGGGGACGCAGAGACTGAGGTGCAGGGAGGGGGGGAGAACTGCAGAGAAAGGGAGAGCCCTGGGCCTGGAGGGCGGAGGGCTGGGCCGCTGGCCCCTCGTCCTCTCTGGCACGAAGGGTCTCTCCATCCCTCTCCAGCCCTTCTAGTGAGGAGTTGAAGGGGAAGGAGGAGGGGAGGCCTACTGTGTGCTGTTTATGAAAATAAGTGACTGATACTTATTGAGCACAAAGCATGTCCAGGTACTGTGCTCAGTGCTTTCCGTGGATCACCTGCTGATCCGCCAACCACTGCTAGGGAGCGGGTGCCATTCTGCCGAGGAGACAGGTTGCGCGTGGAGGTCGCGGGGCTGGTGAGCCTGGGATCAGATGTTTGAGCGCAGGCACTCTGATCCCCAGACCTCGTGGTTCTTACCACTAAGTTAGGCGGCTTCTGAGATAATTGCTTTACTCTCCAAGGCAGTGAGGTTTAGTGGAAAGTAACTCATGATTAAGGGGTTCCAGTGAATGTTCCTGCATAGTTCTCCCTGCCCATTCTGAGGAAATTTCTGAGAAAAGTTAAGAGATTGGTTTTCAGGTGCATTTTGTTATAAGCCAGGACCAGAAGCAGGGTGTCCTCCACACCACATGACCCCTCTGACGCCTACTCTGTATAAAGATGCTTTCTCTGAGGCATTCACTTTGTAGCTTTCTCTCTCATCTTTCTAGAAAAGGTCAGGATATAGTTCCTTTCAACATCATCATCAGGTGGAAAGACTAAATACACTAAATAGGTTTCCAGTTGGGTTCAGCTACTTATTACCGTGAAGCCTTGGATAATTTCACTGATGAAGAGCTTCATGTGCAAAGGGGGAAATAATCCTTACTTGGTAATGCCATTCTGAAGGGTAAATACTATTATTGCTTATAATTATAAACAAGGAGGTGTCTTATGCACAGAAAGTTTATGTTGCATTTTTGGGATCTAGAGAGATTTAAATGGAGTATAATATATAAAATATTGAATCACTGTGTTGAACACCTGAAACTAGCATAACATTGTAAATCAACTATACTTCAATAAAATAAAATAAAGCACATAGGAGAGAGAACTGTAAATTTAGGTAGGAATGGCTAATTCAGTGACACTTATCTACTTCTGCGGTTGGGGAGAAGGGCAAAGAGAAGGCAAGGGAAGTTTCTAGTCCGGTGACACTGGCAGCTGACGGCAGGCCTAGCATTTTACACTTTCTCCCTCTCCAGCTCTGTTTTCTCTGGACACGCCCTTCTCCCAGAGAGGAGCCTGAGGGAGGACAGAAGAGCTGTCATAAATTCTTAAATTCTTAAGGCCATGTCTGAGGTAAGGAAACACTTCTTTTTTCTCCCTGAAATGTGTTGTTTTTCATGTTTTGCATGAACATTTTGCTTTTCTTCTGAAATTCCCAAGCCTAACAGAATCCCCTTCATTCAGTGATCTGGTCCTCACGTTCTCCAGTCTAGTAAAAGGAGGTCCCCCAAAGCCAGGTGAGCTTCCTTTTTTTTTCTTTCCCTCATCCAGAATCTTCATCTTCATTCAAGAAATAGCTTAGCACTTCCTATGGGTTAGGTGTCCTGTTACAAGCTCTCAAGAGGCAAAAATACACTCGGTGGTGGGATATGAAAGTCTGCACTGTAGGGACTTGATTCATTGAGGTCAAGGTGTGTGTTCAGAAGCAAGCACTAGCTTAGAGCTTTTCCACAGACCTGGGTTTGAGAGGAAGGCAAGACAGAGGCTATTGGGGGAGTCTTAGAGTGTGTGACAGAGTCTCTTGCTCGAGTGGGTTTGAGGAGTGGGCTTTGTTGGGTTATGAGAATTTAAGTGCGGGTCAGCTAGGGCAGGGGGTTTCCCGGGCACTTTGTGGGCTTTGAAGAGCAGAATTCCATGGGAGTAATGAGGTCCTGTTTTAGGAACATCCTGAGTTAGTAGCAGACTAGAGCTAGAATATTCTAGATCATCCAGTAACAATTAGTGGAGTTAATATGGAAAAACAGGAAATTTTTTGAAAAAGGAGAATAATAGGAGGAAGTACTTGAATCTACATTTAAAAATGGCTACTTAGATCTGTAATAACGAAAACAGTAAATAATGTGGAATGGGAGCCAGAAGAAACAAGAGATCAGCGTGTAATGTCCAGAAACAAATGCAGCTATAAATAAGAAGGGAAAAATATTTATTCATTCACTGAGCTGACAGTTTAGAGACTTACTGTATATTAAACACCAGCAATACTGTGGTAAATAAAAATAGATACTGTCTTTATCTTCATGGAACTTAGTGTCTACAGGTTTGTTTATTAGATGATTATGTTCTTTTAAATCAGTGGAGGAGGGATGGAGTATTCATTTAGAAAACAAGTTATTGGGGGAGGTTGTAGCTCAAGTGGTAGAGCGCATGCTTAGCATGTATGAGGTCCTGGGTTCAATCCCCAGCACCTCCTCTAAAAATAAGTAAGTAAACCTAATTACCCCCAAAAAATAAATTTTTAAAAAATTTCTTCTTCACACTTTGAGGATAAATACATTCTGTGTGTTAAATATAAAAAATAAAACCATCCAAACTACTACATACTAAGAAGATGATGAGGCAGAAGCAGAAATCAGCTCCAGCAGCACAGTGATGATTACGACAGGAATGTTCTGTGTCTGCCCTGTCCGACACGGCAGCCACTAGCTGCACGTGGCTGTGGAGTACTTGTATGTACTAGTGTGGCTGAAGAACTGAATTTTTAATGGTTGATTAAATTTAAGTAGCGATATGTGGCTAGTAGCTTGTGTATTGGACAGCAGAGATTTCGGTTCATACAGAGATTAAAGCCAGGAAGAAAATCTTGGGTGATCCCGTCCAAGATCCTCACTTTACAGATGAGGAAAAAGAGGCCGAGGAAGGAAAGCAATGTATCCACATGGCTAGTCAGTGGCTGTCAGGTGGAGGGAGCTGTAATACACACTGAGGGTCAGGAACACAGATGGTGGGGAGTGATGGTCTGACCGGAGCGGCAGGGAATAATGAAGGACTCTGTGGGCAGTGAGCCCCTGTGATGGAGGTGATGAGCGCATCATTTCACTCCTTCGCCCGGAACCTTTGCTGGCTTCCCATTTTCCTTGGAATGAAATCCAGTGTCCTTATCTTGGCCCATAAAGCCGTACATGACCCAGCTCCTGGCGACCCTAGACCTCATTTTCTGCGAGTCTTTACCTCTCTCTGTTCCAGTCACACTGTTCACCTTGCTGTGCCTCAAGCCCCCTCCTGTCCCTGAATCTGTGCATTTGCTCCTGCCTTCTCCCCTGATTGGTAGTGCGGCTGGCTCTCCACTTGATTTAGATTGTTGTTCAAACACCACCACCTCATTTAGGTTTACCTTCACCATCTTACACAGACGCCCCTGTAACTCTCAGTCACCTTACCTTGTTTTTTGTTGTAGTATTTAATACTACCTAAATGCATGTGACCTCATGTTTATTGTCTTCCTCCTCTGTTAGAATACTGACTCCGCAAGGGGAGGGGCTATATTCTGTTTACCTTTGTGTTCCCAACTTTTGGAACAGTGTAGTTCAGTAAATATTTGCCAGATTGATACATGAATCAGCAAAGGGATAAATTCCTCATTTGCGAGTGAGACCAGGGCAGCGAGAGCCAGCTCCCTTTTCTCTCCTGCCGGAGACTTGGTAACGTGGTGCGTAGAACAGACAGCCCACCAGCCCAAGTGCTGTTTCCCAGACACCAGCCCAGCCCTGAACCACAGTCTGTTGTGGTAGGGCGCTGGAAACCACAGTTTTATTGGGTCTTGCAATGATTTTAATGCACGCTCAAATTCTGAGAACCTCTGCTTCTAAAGGTTATATTTAAAGTATGCCTCATTTTTTTGGGGGGGGGAGGTAATTAGGTTTATTTATTCTTGGAGGAGGTACTGGGGATTGAACCCAGGACCCCACGCATGCTGAGCGTGTGCTTTAGCACTTGAGCTATGCCCTCCCCCCAGATATGCCTCTTATAAGCAGTATACAGTTGTTTTTCCCACGCTCACAGCCAGGCACTTGGCCCTGTGTGCCTCCCAACCCCCTATGCCCACCACGGTCCCTTGTGCCTCCCGCAGTCCGTGTCTTCCCCCAAAAAGGTTGGCTGGCCTTTAAAAGCCGAGTCTGATAATCTTGGTCTTTTTATTTGTTTACTGATTTTTTTATTGAAGTACAATCAGTTACAGTGTGTCAATCTCTAGTGCACAGCACAGTGTCTCAGCCATGCATATATACGTGTACATATATTCATTTTCATATTCTGTCTTGGTCTTTTTAAATTAGTGTTTAGTACATTGTCATTTAATGTAATTATTGATACATTTGTGTTTCAGCCTACCGTGCTGTTTATTTTCTGTGTATCCCGTTTGCTTTTATTTATTTCTCCTTTTTTGCCATATTTTGCATAAATCAGTTTTCTTCCTTATTATCTTGTTAATTATACACTATTTTTAATATTCTTTCAGTAGCCACTCTAGGGCGGTCTGTACCCATTAGCCATTATGTAGTGATCTCCTCTCTCCCTTCTGTGATTTTCCTTCTGTAACTACCACTCTTACCACTTTTTGAACAAAGTAAGTCCCCTCTAGTGGTTTAGCTTCCAAGACATCATTGGTAGATGTCATTGTATTCAGTTTCCAGTTCCTGCTTTGGGCTCTCGTTTCTCCCTGCGCTGTGGTGCTTCCGTTTTCCTTCTGCCTAAAGAGCCTGTGTTAGTGTTTCTTTGAATATAGTTCAATGCTTTACTCCTATTCTGGATTCGTTTTTCATTAGTTCCTATTCTTACTGGGTCACAATAGTATAATTTAAACTTTTTTCTCATGTTAAGTAACTTTGGGAAATCCTAGAGTCAATGGAGAGAAGAACTTTTAGGAATATATTTTAAGAAAACCATTACAGAGACCTTTGCACCATAGTGAAAAATTTCCATGTAACTAAAGATGAGCAAGGGGTTAGTAACTGAGATATGGCGTGTTTATATCACCCACTGTTACCCATCTAACAAAAGTGATGTTCTGAGTAAATGAACACATGCAGATAACTGTACACACGTCTATGCAAGGAAGCACTGAACAAGTACTAACTGAACTGTGACTGCCCCTGGGCGGTGGGGTGACATGGCGGGCAGGCGTTGGGGGTGGAGGACTTCCAGTTCTTAGAAAGGGAGAAAATTCACTGAGGGTAGAAATACCAGACATTATTTTCTAAGTTTCTTTAATAATGACAAAATTGTATGAGCTTCCTGTTTTATCAAATCAAAATAAAAATAAAAAGCATTTGAAAGGTATTCACGTCTCATTGGCTGAGAGGAAAATGTCAGTCAGACCATCAAAACCTGGAACCCATTAGTTTGTGTGTGCAGCTAAAAATTGTCTTTTAAGACCTTTCCTAGCAAAAGCTGCCTCACCTGTGGTACAGAAGAAACCGTGTGTGGCGAACACTTTTCTTCCACAAAATTTTAAAGAATTTGTATTGAAGTGCTTGAGATTAAAAAGAATTAATTGACAGTGCCCAGCCCTGTCCAGCAGAAGTTTCATCTTTTAAGACCCAGCTCGTGTTCCCTTCCTTCCTTGAAGCCGTTACTCACTTCCCAGATTTCCCCGTACTGAGAAGTGTTTTAGAGGTGGAATCACGTAAGATAGAGGCTGGTGCCTGTGACTGATGTTTCTTGGAGTCACAATTCTGCTTCCCTTATAGCTTCCTTAACATTTCTGTCCATTACTCAGGCACTGAGAGTTCACATACTGACTCAGTTTTTCCCATTAAAAATGTTTCTGTGTAAAATCACTGATATGCTTAGATGCATCTTCCGTAGGGGCATTCCTCTGCAGAGAGTCCTGTTAAGGATGGGAATGATGCGGGGGAGGGTAGAGCTCAGTGGTAGAGCGCATGCCTAGCACGCACAAGGTCCTGGGTTCAATCCCCCGTGCTGCCTCTGAAGATAAATAAATAAGTAAACCTAATACCCCTCCCCCAGGAAAAGCCCTAAATTAAAAAGAAAAAAAACAGCAATGACATTCATATTCAATAGCCACTAAGGCAAGAACGTAGCCGACCTTAGCCCAGCTGGGATCCTGGAAGCCTTCCCCTCCAGTTGCTGGATCTTGGGGAGACAGAGGATGGTCCCCAGCAGGCTCAGTGCAGCAGCTGTTTGCCACCCAGCGTGGCGGCAATTACTTCAATATTTGACAAGTCACCTCAGGTGCTCAGGTGCACCGTGGCGGGCACCTGCGTGTCGGCTGGCTTAGGAGGAGGCTTTGCTCTGTGATGTGCCAAACCTAAGCAGCATCCACCGGCTCATACAGCAAGCCCTGGTAAGCCTGGGGCCGGCCTGCCTCACGGGGAGAGCGCCCGTTTAAAACTCCTAGGGAGTGGACCAGGTCTTACCCCTAGCCTGCCGCGGAACTTGAGAGCTGTGTTGTGACACTTAAGAAACAATCGCTCGTTAGATGTGCACAGTTGCGTGTGTTCCTCGAGTGAGAGCGGCAGGGTCTGGGGTGCACTTCATTACCGCATTTGAAATGTTCACTGTCTAACCTAATTAATAGTGCTTAAAATTACCACCAGTTTGTCTCATAGGAACCAGGATAAGTTGCCAGTTGTCTTTGAAACTTAGGGTGATAAGAGCTGCTATGTAATCTTCCGTTGTCCGTGATTCTTCTCTGCAGTGGCACACATTTAAGTTACATTTTTGCAGAATCACCATAAAACTTCTTTGTTATTTTTATCACATATGTATTTAATTTTAGAAAACCAGCATTACAAGCATGAAGTGTATTTTTATATGTGCCTTATTGATATAGTTGCAACACTGACCATTCCATTTTGGAGTTTGGAAAAGTGCTGGGTTAGACTGTATCTTCTAAGGCATGACTCATGTTTCTGCCTCCTCCTTGAAGCCTTTCCTTTGTTCAGTGCCCCAGTCTCTCTTGATTTTCCTTACTGAGAAATGCTCTAGCATTTCCTATGAATAACGTATTATTTTATGCTGGATTGTTCACAGTGTTCTGTTATTGCTCATTTTTTCCGTCAGTAGAGACGCTCCCTGGAATTGTGTGCTTTCCATGACGGAACATCAGAACTAAGCACAGAGAAGCTGTCTAGCAGTTACTTGACATGTGTTGCTCAGAACCCAAGATACAACAGAAGAATTCACTAAATGCAGTATTTCCCTCCAAAAGTGTAGACAGTTTAGCTCTTCAGACTATGCTCGTGTGAGGGTAAGAACACTAGCTGAGCAGGAACATGTTCACATCCTTCCAGGGCTTGGTGACGTTCAGGGATGTGGCTGTGGACTTCTCCCAGGAGGAGTGGGAGTGGCTGAGCCCTTCTCAGAGGACCCTGTACAGGAGGGTGATGCTGGAGAACTACAGGAGCCTGGTCTCGCTAGGTAAGGGCCCCTGTGACTCGGAGTCTGCGCGGAGGGCTGCTCTCCAGCGGGACGTGTGGGGAGCCTCTCACACGCTGCACTAGGTTTCTCGTTTCTGTGCCCCCCCCACATAACCTGAGTCTTGTAGAACTGGCAGCTTCATTAGACTGCTGCTGCTGACATCGGCTTCCCCAGTCTCCAGAAGACGTTGCCCTGTTCCTCAGCTGCGTTCTGCAATGCCCCCGCCTTCCCGCTGCCCACGGAACTTGGTCTGGTTTATGGGCCTGGCTAATCCCCTTTTATTCCTTGTAAGCAGGAGTTTCCGTGTCTAAGCCAGATGTCATCTCATTGTTGGAGCAAGGAAAAGAGCCCTGGAAGGTGAAGAAGGAGTGGACGGGAGGCACACGCCCTGGTGAGTGACAGTGACCTGGGGAGGTAGAGGCCACCTCAGGGACAGGCTCAGCTGGTCTGAAAGGTTCCACCTCGTAACTGATGTTTCCAGGGTAGCTTTTCTGAAGGCTCAAGGCCTGGGAAGAACCACCGATGTGTCTCCAGCATGACTGCTCCAGCTGACTCTCCTTGGATGCATTCTCTCACACATCACTGTCTCCTTTGATAGCCTTTCCTCTTCTGTGGACCCAGATGTCGCAGTGTCTCCTCTTGGCCTTGCTTTTTAGTTTTACACAAGTTGCTCCATCCTGTGTTTAAAAATCCTGACACAGCAGTGCCTATTTTTTTTTCCTTTTCAGCTACACATTCCCTTTAGATTGAAAGATTGGCTCATTTATTTATTCACTTAATCTTTTACCAGGATTCTGTGTTTCTTCTTTGATAAAAACCATTCTGCTAAATTCTCAGGATTATTCAGAGGTTTGCAAACCATTAGAGGAAAAATGAAGCATTTCCAGTTGTATTTTCAAGCCTGGGTAACTGGAAGGTGATAGCATTGAATCGAAAGTCAGAAGAAAGAATAAGTTGGTAGAAGAAAAGCTGGTGAATTTGGCTCAAGACAATAAGACACTTATTTTTAAGAGAGATGGTGATTTCCAAATGAAGAAATGCAACATACCACTGGAGGGAGACAGAGGCTCAGAAAAAAAGTCTGACACAGAGATGTTAGTGCAAACGAATGAGCTCACTAAGCTTAGAGTTTGAGAGGCCCTGGTCCTGGGGCCTTTGTGTGGATCTGGGTCTTTAACAACTTTCTCAATGTCCTCTCTGGTAAATGGCCTCTCTGCAGTTTCTTCCTTGGGTTAAATTTTATAAATTTAAATTTTTCTAGATGGTTATCCTTTTCATGTAGGTTATAGATTTATTTCAGTGAGTCTGAGCATAATAAGCTCTTATAGTTCTTTTATTTCTTTATGTCTGTAGTAATTTCCAATTTAAATTTCTTATTGTATAACTGTACTTTAAAAAATTATTTATTAGATACTACTCATTAATCAATTTTATTTTTATTTTTAAAATCCAGCTTATGGATTTATCTCTTAAATATAAAATATGTTACCATTCTTATCTTTTCCAGTTCTCTGCCTTTCTGCCTTTCTCTTTACTAATTCCTTTCTTCCAATTTCCTTAGATTTGTTTTCCATTTTGCTGACATAAACTCATTTCATTTTCTCTTATCCATAATGAAAATTATTAGGAGGTTGAATTTTCCTATTATAGCTTTAGCTGACTTCATAGTTCTGATATTTAGTATTTTTGTTATTTCCATTTCCTAAACTTTTCTTTTAAAATTCCCTTTTACACAAGAGTTGTTTGAAAGAAAGTTTTCTGGTTTTATTCTATTTTGATCAAATTGTTTTATCATATTTTATCAGGATAGTAATTAGTACTAATTCTGCTTTATAACAATTGACGATTTTGTATGGCTTAGTATATATAGTTTTTGTACCTGTTCAGTGGATTCCAAGGTATACTCTATTTTCAGTGTAAACAGCTTGTCACGTATCATGAGTTTTACTTTTTTGTTACTAAGGCGTCTTTACTTAATCTTTCTTGTTTCCTTCCATAATTGTTTTCTTAATAACTTTATTAAGAAATTATTTACATACAGTAAATTGCGATCATATAAATTACACGACGTGATGAGCTCTGACAGTTGTACACGCCCATGAAACCACCACCACAGTCAAGACACGAAGCGTTTCCATCTCCCCAGAAGATAGCTTGTGCCTCTTTGCGGTCCGTCCTCCTCCACTCTTGGCTCCTAACGCTGATCTGACCTTTGTCGTTTTAGATTAGTTTGCATTTAAACTAAATGGAATCATACTGTTATGTCTGGCTTATTTCACACGTCAAAATTATGTTGAAAATCATCCGCTGTGTTGCATGTGTGAGTATGTGTTCCCTTTGTTGCTGAGCAGCATGTTGTGTAGATGCTCCACGTTTTGTTTTTTTTCATTCTATTGATGCGTATTTCGGTTGTTTCCAGTTTCGGGCTGTATGAAGCAGTCACCACCAGGACTTTGTATAGACATATGTTTTCATTTCTCTTAGGTAAATGTCTTAAAGTGGAAAAACTGAGTCATATGATAGGAATATGTTTAACTTTTTTTAAGTTTTTAAAAGTTTATTATTGAAGTGTAGTTGATTTACAATATTAGTTTCAGGTGTACAGCAGAGTGATTCAGTTATACACACACATACGTATATATTTTCAGATTCTTTTCCATTATATATTATTACAAGAAATTGAATGTAGTTCCCTGTGCTGTTCGGAAGAAATGTTTTAAATCAGTAGGTCCTTGTGGTTTATTTTATATATAGTAGTGTGTGTCTGTTAATCCCCAGCCCCTAATTTATCCCTCTCCAAACCTCCCCCTTTGGTAACCATAGTTTCTTTTCTATGTCCTTGAGTCCCTGTTTTTGGTTTGTAAGTAGAATTTGTATTATTTTTCATTTATATTCCATATATAAGTGGTATCACATGATATTTGTCTTTCTCTGTCTGACTGACTCCACTCAATATGATAATCTCCAGGTCCATGTTGCTGCAAATGGCATTATTTCATTTTTCTGTGGCTGAGTGGTATTCCATTATATATGTATAGCACATCTCTTTTATCCAGTCATCTGTTGTTGGACATTTAGCTTTCCATGTCTTGCCTATTGTATTAAATAGTGCTATGAACATTGGGGTGTATGTCTTTTCTTTTGGTATTTTGCTTTCATTTGCATTCTTTTTTATTGAAGTACAGTCAGTTTACAATGTGTCAATTTCTGGTGTACAGCATAATGTTTCAGTCATACATATACATACATATATTTCATATTCTTTTTCATTAAAGGTTATTACAGGATATTGAATATAGTTCCCTGTGCTGTACGGAAGAAATGTTTTAAATCTATTTTTATATATAGTAGTTAATATTTGCAAATCTTGAACTCCCAAATTTATCCCTTCCCACCCTCTCCTCCCAGTACCCCTGGAACCATAAGATTTTAAACTATGTCTGTGACTCTGTTTCTGTTTTGTAGATGAGTTCATTAGTGTCTTCTTTTTGCTTTTCTCTTTCTGATTTACTTTACTTAGAATGATGATCTCCAGGTCCATCCATGTTGCTGCAGATGTCACTGTTTTATTATTTTTTATGGCTGAGTAGTATTCCATTGTATAAATACACCACAACTTCTTTATCCAGTCATCTGTCAGTGGACATGTAGGTTGCGTCCATGTCTTGGCTATTGTAAATAGACCTGCTATGAACATTGGGGTGCAGGTATCTTTTCGAATTAGAGTTCTCTCCGGATATATCCCCAGGAGTAGGATTGCTGGATCATATGTGTAAGTCTAGTTTAAGTTTTTTTGAGGAATCTCCATACTGTTTTCCATAATGGCTGCACCAAACTACATCCCACCAGCAGTGTAGGAGGGTTTGCTTTTCTCCACACCCTCTCCAGGATTTATCACTTGTGGACTTTTAAATAGTGGCCATTCTGACTGGTGTGAGGTGATACCTCATTGTAGTTTTGATGTGCATTTCTCTGATAATCAGTGATATTAAGCATCTCTTTATGTGTCTGTTGGCCACCGTGGATGGTCTTCTTTAGAGTACGTGTCTTGTTTAGTATTCTTCTCGTCCTTACTTTTTGTAGTTTTGG